AGCGGGAGGTGCCGGCACAACCACCCAGCCGAGGGCTGGAGGCTGCTGACACCCAGGCAGGGCAGCATCCACCCCCACGCTTAATTACCCCCTTATTAACACGAGCTGCAGAACGAAGTCAGCGCCACGGGACGGGAATGACTGATTCCCTGTTACAGAGACAACCGTGCAGATGCAGCCTCCGATTCAGACCCCGGCTGTCTGCAGAGCGCGTTAACCCCTCGTTAAAAACCTTCTGACAGAGACCTCAACACTCCGAAACAAAGATTTTTAATTACCGGGGCCGGTTTTCCAGCAGCACCATAATTAGAGGCTGTCAAAATTTCCACCGGCAGCGATTTAGGAGGGGGAATAACTCAACCATTTCAACCCCAACTGCAGCGAGGCTTGGCAAAGCCCAGACGTGAGTTTAGGCTGGGGGGGTTGGTTCAAGCTCCACTGGTCCAGCAAACTCCTCCTCTCCCTCCCACGCCAACATCACCGGGCTGAAAAAGCATCCCCAGCCGTGAATCCACGCTACGAATCCGACCTGCGTGAGGATAAAAGAAGAGGTAAATCGTGTCAGGTGACGGATTGCAGGGCGGGCTCGGGATCCCGACCTTGCCGCCCAGAAAAAGGTCACACTTTCAAAAAAAAAAATAATAAAATCCAACAGTGGAAAGCACAACGGCGGGGAAAACTCAGGCGGCGCTTTCAAATGACGCTTTTCTACAGAGAAAGGGAACCACCGGCGCGTCATTGCAACAACCACGATGGCAAAACCAGCCCGAAACGTCGGGAAAACTGCCTGGCCTGCTTTTTTTTGGGGAATGTTAAGGTTCACGTAGGTGTCACAGAAAAGCGGGACCGAGTCGCCGCCGTTTTGTCGGTGACAAGATCCGCGCTGGTCCGTGTCAGGATGGAATGACGTCACAGGAAGGCTGCTATTGTTAATATTACAGCATCTGCCCCAGCCGGCATGGGAACCCCGTCGTGTGATGAAGAAAGAAGCAGCCCCAGATCACGGGGTAGGCGAGGACAGGAACAAAGCAGCAGGAGTCCAGCGACGACGACAGCTCCTGACCCCACGGACGGAGCAAATGCCTGAGGAACCGAAGAGCAGCCCAGAGCTGAGCCATTTGTCGTCCCCGTAAGGACCGGGGGGGAAGAGACAAAAGGTGGAGAAGGCCAAAGCGACTCCGCTCATGGCACTTTGCTGCAGAAGCAGAAGTTATTAGCAATTACAGCGGATTTCGAAAGCGCCTGGCAAGATTTTTAAACCCGGCAGCAGTAGCGCGGGGTGAAATCAGCTCTGCTCCCCCCCGTTATCGGGGTGTATGTGTTGTCCCCCCCACCTCTCACA